CTATGTTTTTCCTCATCCCCTCGACCTCCATAGCCACGGTCTTAACCCACACTATCACCAACCCGCGACCTTCTCCACCATCGGCACACCGTCGGACCGCCACCACCACCATCACCTATTTTCATTATCATCTAGAACCACCATTCACAAAGTGTTATAGGTGAAGAAAGAGAAGAAGAAAGAAGATGGAGGAAAAAAAAAAAACAAAGTTAAGAGAAGTTTATTTTGAATTTTAAAAGTTGGTTTTCGGCTTACTTTCGGCATGCCAAAACCATCCATTCCGGGAAGAAGTGAGAAAAATAGGTTATGTAACATGAAGTATGAAGCAAGTTGAAGAGATTGGCGAAAGAATGAAGTAAAACCGTTAAGAATTAAGAAAGTTATGGAGTCTGAAAGATGGTTCGAAAAAAATGTCCGAGACGGTAGGAAAATAATCTTATTTTTGGTCAAATTTTGGAGATCCGACGGCATGCAAAAAGAGACGGAACGAGGCGTGTGAGTAGTGAAACAAAAACTAGGCCGTGAGGTGAATCCAATGACAGAAAAATAAGATAAAACGGAGTTACGATGAAGAAGATACAAGGATTTGAACTGGTGACATTGAAACTAAATTTCTGGGTCTCTCTGTCGTACATGCTACGGCTTGTAGAAGATGAGCTTAAATTTTATCCAGTGTTTCTCGGCCCATGGTGCTACGGTGCACCCTAGTACCTTTAGGTTAATCGAGTGGTCCTATGACTTTGGGGATGACCATCCTTAGGTTTTTCGACGTGTAGAATCCATTTTTGGGGTTAGATCTTGCAAATTCTGAGTCTAAGATGATGATCAACAACTAAAAGTTCTAAGAGAATCCAATGGCAGATCAACGGTGAGATCGCGTCCGATTGATGTGAAATTTCAGCAAGACGATCATGGAGCCAAGACAATCATATCTTACGATCAGAATCATAAATCAAATTCGGACGATAAATCGTTAGCAACCTAACATACTAAGAAAACTCTCATAACCGTCTCATTCTTTTTAATTGTTAAATTTTTAGATTTGTGTTCATATGTTAACATAGCTAAAACTTTAGATAAAAATTTTGTTTATAGTTGTATGTAAATTTGTGATTGGTATATTAAATATTTGAAGGTAATTTCTTTATTAGTTGCCTTAAAATCATGATATAATCTTGGATTTAGGCTTGCATGTGTAGTTTGTGCCATTAAGAGATGATTAAAGATTTTATTTGGTTTGATTATATAACTTTTCAATCTGCCAGAAACTTATACGAATTTTTAGATAATTTTATGCTCAAAATTTTGAAATGATTTCTTCTACAAAATTGTTGAGAATGATGTCTAGTTCATCCAGGAATTTTCTTAACAATTATTGAGCTTGGTACGAATTTATACAAATTAATAATTAAATCTGCTACTGTAAGACAGATTTTACTATATGTTTAAAAACTTATTAAAAATTCTATATTAAGCCAAATCTGGTAATTTCTAACTAAAATATGAAATTTGAGAAGTCTAATTTCATACTAAATTTTGAGATTGTGGGTTTGATTTATAAATTTAAGTATGGAATTAATTTAAGAAAATGTGATAAATCTGTGTCATAAAATTTCTGAGAATTTTACAGAATTATTTATAACTTATTTTTGGGAATTTATTTCTGAAAAATGACCAAAACATATTTATTGAATATTCTGTACATTTTCACGAATTTTAGAACTGTATAAATAATTTATTTATAATTTTTATTACCTAAGATATAACTTGAAAATTTCTAGACAGGTTTAAGATCATGACTTCAATTATTTATTCGGATAAAAATCAGTTATTGTGTTGGTCCAATTCATCAAATATAGTAAATTAGTAATCCATGTATGGGTGTATTGTGGTTTATTTAATATTGTGGTAGTCTAATCTTGTAAATTAAAGATCCATGCACGTGTGTGACTTTGGTTTATTTTCTCTGTATCTAAACTATTATTTCATACCATGGTTTAAATAAATTGTTTATTTAAATGCTGTACATTTATTTATTATTGTGTGACATGTGCAATATTTTATGTTGGGAATTTTAATGAGTTGGTATAACATTATTTGTAATTAAAAATTAGATTGGTATAACATTATTAGTGATTGAGATTTGAATAATTTGTGTTCAATATATGAAGTTACTGATAAAGGATTAATACTAGTTGTTCAGGGTGAGTCTTGATTTTAAAGAGTGTATGAAATCAAGGGATTGACGGTTAATACCGGTTGTTCAGGGTGAGCCCTGGTTTTGAGAATTCTCACGTAAATTGTGTTGCGAAACTCTAAGATGGCACGGGACTTATTTGAACCCTTTTCGGTATTTGGTTTTGGAATAAGGGTGGATGTGCTGGTGGCACACAGGGAGGTTACGTACCCCTGGCAGACCGTTTCCTTGGGGCAGACCACGGATGCCACTACTTGGGTATATCACTCCGGACGTGGGCATCCCTGGTAGTTACGGTTGGTAACACTTGAATATTTGACCAAGGGAGGGTTTCAAATTAACCGTTGCCATGCTTAGTGGTTGGTAAGTTAAATCTCTTTGGTGAGATTTCGAGTGTCACCTAATCTATTAAAATCATTTTAATGGTTGTAATTTATGCTTACAATTATATTGTCATCTCATGTTTATAATCTCATTAATTTTTCTCTTAAAAGGAATGGTGGGTTGGTTATGTTTTCTTACTGTGTTGCAAAACTCATGGCATATATTTTTGTTGCCCTGGCGTTTTATGCCAGGTCTTGGCGAGAAAATAATTGAAGCTGAAATGGAGTCGACGCTAACGTAGAGCTTTGGCTGACCTGAAACCCCGAGTAGAGCCGAATAAATTATATTATTTTATATAATAGCTATTAAGGACTTTATAATTTCATTTAATGTTGTATTTGGATAATTTTAAGTTTTTATCTATTGTTATTTGGACGTTTGGTTATGTACGAGAGTTGGATTACCCTGTTAAGATGTCAACTTTTTTTAGTTTATTAAGTCATTTTGTTTATATAATTTCCCTTAATATTTAAAAAAAAAATTGGGGCGTCACAATATCTAAATTGTTATTTTCTTTATTTTTGTGTGGTTTCTATTCATTTATTTTTTCAATTTATTTAAGATGGAGTTGTAGGTTTCTATTTTTTTAAAAAAAATTTAATTTATCTGTAATTTCTATTTGTTTTTAATTATTATTATTTGGGTAAGTTATGATGTGAGTTAAATATGTAATAGACATGTGAATTTTATTTATTTAAAGTATGATGGCAAGAGATATTTTCAAATTAGATTTGTTTAGATAATCTTTAAAGATTTTTTAATTTATCTATTCATCCTAATCTCTCTCACTTATTTCCAAAAGAAACTATTAAAATTTTCCTTCATTCTCTCTCCCCAAAAAGTCAGATAATATTTTTCATGAGAGTTATAGGTATTTATCTATATCTTATATATCATATTATAACATAAAAAAAATTAAAAATTAGGTATAAAAACAGATAAAATTAATAAATTTGATTTTTATTTATTTAGTTAAAATCTTTCTTTGGCATCTCAATATCCAATTTTAAAATTTAAAAATCTTTAAACTCTATCTAAACAAATCTAATTTGAAAATATCTCCCGCATCATGCTTGAAATCAATAAAACTCACATGTCTACCTATTACATATCTAACTCACATCATAACTTACCTAAATAATAATAATTAAAAATAAATAGAAACCACAGATAAATTAAATTTAAAACAATAGAAACCTATAACTGTATCTTAAATAAATTGAAAAAAAAAATAGAAACCACACAAAAATAAAGAAGATAAGAATTTAGATATGGATTTCAAAAAGATATAACAATATCTAAATTCGAATTATGATTTAGGCCTCGTTTGACAACTTAATATTTTAGTTAAAAGTCAAAAAATTATTAAAAAAATTAAAAAACCAACAACTTATACCGAAAAGTCAATAATTATCTTTTCTCTATATTTTTTTACACATTTTTTTGTAAAAAATCAAAAAATATTCCAAACATACTAATTTTTTTACCGCATATTTTAGCCAAAAAATAAAGAAGTGGCTAAAATAGCATGTTCCCAAACGAAGCTTTAGCAATATAATTATCTATTTTTTGATATATATCTATCAAAAATTTTAAATCACTTAATGAGACAAATTAATCAATTTTCATGTCTTATTTAAAGAATAATATGATTGGTTATCCCAACAACTAGACTTCGCGAGCAGTGGCAGAGGAGTTGACGGATTGGGCTGTGCGAGGTCTAAGTTATTGGAGGTAATATTCTACCACTCCATAAATTTATTTATTTTTTAATTTTATTTTTTCCCAGTGTGATTTTCTTTCTTAACTGTTGGTTTGGTTTTGGTTTCGATTTTAGTGAAATTTATGTATTTGTTTATAGGTTTGCATGGTGGAGAAATTATTAGTGATGATGGTTGTAATCAAAGTATCTATGCCTATTTTTTTTTTTTTTTGATCAGCGAAGAAAAAGGAACTATTATTGATGAAGACCGAATAAAGAAATACATCAATAAAGAAGACGAGGAAGGGGGGTGCAAAGAGCATCATAGCGAAACAAAACAATCCCAACTAGGTTGGCACTGTTGAGAACGCCCAATCATATGCTAGCACACCGCCTAAAGATGGTGAGTTGGTGAGAAACCAACCACAAACAACAAACCCACACCAAAAATACAACCAAACCTAAGACATGCCAAATCCAACAGATAGAAATACTAGAACCAGCCAAAAAGCAAAATAAAACCAACAATAAAGCCCTCTGCTGGAGCATCCAGACAGCAGACCACACACACTGACAAGAAGCAAACCATCAGTCAGGCAAGGAGACCAGCAGGACATCAAACCATAAGCCCAATACACCATTATTCTTGCAGCAGCTACCAGCAGAGGATGGAGAAACTACCAACCAGCCACCATTCATCCAAGCACACAAAAACTCCTATGCTAACACAGGACCACCATACAACCAAGCCCACAAAACTCCTTTGCTAACAGAGAGCATATGACACTCAGAAGGCCTCTGCACTGCCTTCACAGACCAGAACCTAGCTGATACATACCACTCTGCAACCAATCTGCATACATACCAATCTGCTACATACCCATCTGCTACCAATCGCACTGCTACCAATCAGCAGAGAATGATCTCTTCTTCCTTGCTTCCATCAGCAAACCATATCAGCTAACCAGCAGAGGATGGACATAACCTCACGGCAATGCAAGACTATTAAACAGAGGCACACAGCCAGCCCCTTGGAGGCCAGAAGCTCCACCATACTGCTGCTAGGCAGTAGGACACAGCAGCAGACCAAGGCAGATTCTAGAACACTTCAGTAAGGAGCACCTGCAATGTTAGACTGTAGGACACTTCTGTTCAACCCAGATTTATTTAGAGCTAACTCTGCAGCCTATAACCAGAGACAGAATTACAATGTATGCACAAAAACACATGAGACCTGGCCAACTCTGAACTGCCATGACCACCAATCATACCAATAGCCAACCAACCAAACAAACACTTTTTCACTCAACCTCCATTTCTAATGCAGAACTTCACCTGTGGCAGGTTAAAGACCAAGTCATTAATAGAAAGCTCCACCTGGGTTAGTGAGGCTTTGAGCCACATAGCTACACGAACCTTCACTATTTCACACAGGTCTTCCAAGTTTGGTTGAGAGCCATTAAAGATGCAATCATTTCGATGCTTCCATGTAGACCACAAGACAGCCAGAGGAAGAACCTTCCAAATTTTCTTTTCCAACTTCTTCAATCTACAACCATCCCACCAATTCAACAGTCCATTCACTGAACCTGGTAGCACCCATTGCATACCCCACCATCGGACAATGTTGGACCAAAGCAACCAAACGAAAGGACAGTACAATAGAATATGTTCCACAGTTTCAATCTCATTGTGACAGAAGACACAATCCAGATTTACATTCCCTGTTAGAATACCAATTCTATGAAGGAAACTCGAAGTTTTAATCTTACCCAGCCAAGCCATCCATCCAAAACATTGAACTTTTGGAGGAGCGAAATTATTCCAAATTGAAGCAGTCACTGGTAATATAGGTCCCAGATGTGATTCACTCCAAAGATATACTGAGGAAACAGAGAAAGTATTAGATGGGTCTGCACCCCATATGAGCTCATCAGATCTGGAATTGCACAGAATTGGTGCAGAATTCAGCAAATGAAAAAGTCTGTTAGCTTCTTCCTCCTCCCATACCAATAGAGGTCTTCTGAAGTCCATGTTCCAGCCACCATTCTCTTCCTTTTTTTCGAAAACACCCTTACCGCACCATTTTTATCATTAGATAAGGAAAAGAGCCTTGGGAATTCCTCCATTAGGCATACATTACGCACCCACTTGTCTCTCCAAAATCGAACTCTCCTCCCATCCCCCAGAACAATCTGAGCATTAGAAATATAAAAGTGGTGCAGCTCTGGATTGGACAGTACAGCTTGAATAATATCCGACCAGATCTTGGATTCTCTGCCTATTAACTGTGGTGTCCATCTTCCATCCAATGACACATACTTGGAGCAGATCACTTCCTTCCAAAGGGATTTATTCTCTACACCAAATCTCCACCACCATTTCAGCAAGAGACATTGATTGAAACTTTTTATCCTCCTCAACCCTAACCCACCTAATTTCTTATTTTTAGAAACCACCTCCCACCGGACCATATGTATTTTCCTTCTAAGATCGGATCCACCCCAAAGAAATACAGATTGTATTCTCTTAATTTCCTTTGCCACTCCAGCAGGGATTCTAAACAGTGAGAGGTAATAGATGGGCAGATTAGACATAACCGATTTAATAAGAGTTAAGCGCCCAGCAAAAGATAACAACCTTCTCTTCCATGTGGACAATTTTTGTTTGAACTTATCAAGAACAGGTTTCCAAGTACTCCTCCTGCTGGGATTAGCCCCCAAAGGAAGCCCCAAGTATTTTAGAGGCAATTTATGGTGGCAACAATTTAAGGAAGAAGCAAACTCCTGCATCGAACCCTCATCTACCCCAATCCCACAGATAACACTCTTGTGATAATTAATTCTAAGACCTGATACAATCTCAAAGCATCTTAGAATTCTTTTAATGTTGCCCACCTCCTCTTTATCCGCATTACAGAACAAAATCGTATCATCCGCAAATTGCAAGTGCGTGATTCTCAACTTGTTTGGCAATTACAATTCTATAAGGACTGATTGATCCTTGCTGGCACACTCACAATTACAATAATAACCTTCGAAAGCCAAAAAGCCAACTCATAAGCCTTTTCAAAATCCAATTTAAGCACCAAGCCTTTTCTATTGATCTTTTCCAACCATCCACTATTTCATTGGCTATCAAAATACCATCTAATATATTTCTTCCCCCCAAAAAAGCTGACTGAGCTTCGCCAATAATCTTGGGCATTACCTGCTTCATTCTGTTCGCTAGCACTTTAGCAACAATTTTATACAAGGAGCCAATCAAGCTAATAGGCCTATAATCATTCAAACAAGAAGGGCTTAAAACTTTGGGGATCAGAGCTATAAACGAGCTATTTAGCCCACAAACGAGCTTTGCATTCTGATGAAAATTGCTCATAAATTTTAGCACATCAACCCTCACAATTTTCCAACACTTTTTGAAAAATGACAAATTAAACCCATCAGGGCCAGGTGCCTTATTACCATCACAACACTTGATAACATTTTTAATCTCCTGCTCTGTAAACTCTGCCTCCAATTGTGCCACAACTTGAGCACCCCCTATGTTCTTGAAAGGGCCAGCCAATTTGGGACGGACCTTCCAATTTTCTGAAAAAAGCTTCATAAAATAAATCTTAACGGCCTCCCTAATTGCCAAAGGCTCCTCTAGCATTGAACCATTTACAGCAATTGAACACAAAGAGTTTCTACTATTTCTGCTACATGCCATAATATGGAAGAACCTTGTATTTTTATCCCCTTTAGATGCCCAATTCATTCGAGATTTTTGTAGCCAAATCCACTCCAACATTTTACGTAACCTCCACACTTCACCCCGCACTTCCTTTCTTCTATACAGTTTTGTATCAAGTAGTGGTCTATCCTCAGCTAACAAATCAAGAGCATGAGCCTCATCTTCTACACTTTTCAATTTTGATTCAATCTTACCAAACACCGCAACATTCCACTGTTTGAGGACCTGTTTCAGTGCTTTAAACTTCATAAGACATTTAAACCCTGCCCATCCATCCACAGCAGATTCCGACCAACTTTGTTGAATACAAGATAAAATTTGGGATGTAGAAGCCAGGCATTGAGGAACCTAAAAGGCTTCGGGCCCCAATCCCTATCATCCTCCATCAAAATAATAGGGCATTGATCGGACAGAAATCTAGGAAGCCCCCATAGTTTGAAGGAAAAATTCTGCACCCACTCATAATTGAGAAGAAATCGATCAATTCTGCTCCATTTATCTCTAACTTGAGAATTGCACAAAGTAAACTTCCTCCCTAACATAGGAATGTCTATCAACTCGAGTTGTGCAATCATATTATTAAAGTCCCTCATCCCACGATCCCTTCTCGAACACCCTATTCTTTCGAAGATGTTCTTAATTTCATTGAAGTCACCCCCCATACACCATGGCCCCAAGAAATTGGATTTCAACCTCACTAACACATCCCAAGTCTCTTTTCTTTTAGCCACCTCGTTAGAACCATAGACGTTAATAATTACACAATCAAAACTGGAAAATAATGTACCTGATAAAAGGATGAAATTCTGGGTACTGCAGCAATCCTTCAAGAAAAACACCTCAGGGTTCCAAATACATAGTAGCCCTCCAGCTTGACCAATCACGTCTACTGCCATGAAATCAAATTGATCCCCAGGCCACATAGACCTAACCAAGGTAGAATCAACTACTGCCTTCTTGGTTTCTTGTAATAGCACAATATCCACTTTTCTCTCTGCAAGACTCTTCTTTATTTGTCTCCTCTTTTCAGGCCTTCCAATTCCCCTCACATTCCATGATAGTATCTTCATAAGCATATGAAAACCCTCTACCCAGCCGATCGTTTTAATCTAACTCGCATCCCCTTCACCCGGCCTTGCTCTTTGTTGGTCTTGCGCTTCAAGATCATGCAATTTACTAAGCACCTCCTCTTCTTTGCCTTCACACTCAAGGCCGAGGGCTTTGCCTATTTGAATTGAAGCTTCCGCCTCTGTCAATAATCTTCTTCCACTACTATTTCCGCTTGCCATTGATAGTGAGATGGCCGCTACCGCCGACCTGAACACTGCTCCTTTCCTCAAATTCAATGAAGATGCCCCCAACCCCGTGGAAACATCAAATTTCCTTTTCATTTGCTGCTTTTGAAACTGTTTTGTTGAAGCTGGAAGTGCTTTTCCTTTCATTTTTTCCTTATTTGCTGGACAGACGGGTGCTGTTGCATTATGGGCTAAAAAACTCTTAGAACCAACAGTATTACGGTTAACACACTGCTCAAGCCCTTCAGGAGAAGTAATTGGGTCTTGGAAGTTAGACTTGCCAAGGTGAACTAGCCCCTTAGTTCTTTGGGCCGACCCAACCAACCCACCTGCCATTTGGGCCCCATCAAGAGCCACTTCAAGGTGAATACCCAGCCTATTACTTCCAGACCCACTTAAACTTCTAATGAACCCAGGAGTATATACGTCACCATCAAACCTACGCCTGACACTATCATCGCACTGCTTGCAGCTCATCCCTACCTTTGCCAATTGATTTACGCGTGCGCCACCTTCCGTTGACATTTCCTTCATCATATCAGTTTCAGCTACCCCTGAGACATCTCTCAGTCTATCCTCCCCGTCCAGTTCAGCTGCAAGAATAGGTGATACAATAGTTCCCACTCCAGCCACATCACCCCGTAAATCTGACTTCTTGCCCAGCTGGGCCTCCACATCACCTCGTAGTTCTGACAGCTTGTCCATCTGGACCTCCACATCATCATCTTCTTCCTCATACCTGCTGTTTTTGTCCGTGATCTGGGCCTCTGCACTTGCCTTTGAAAATGACCCCACTCCATTCTTCCATTTATTGGATTGGCATACACATTAATCCTGCAAAGTTTTAGAAGCTATAATTTGTTCCCCACACACCCGCACAGGATATAGTGTACCTTTGCACTCCAGATTAATGGTGTGATTAATAGTATCCATACTAGTCGTGGCTATCCTCACTTTACCACAGTGGAGGGAGTTGAGTGTACCCCAGATCTTGCCAATGCTGCTAAATGTAGAGAAACTCCACAGATTTAGTGGAACTCCTTAACAACTTAGCCAAACATGTCGTTCTTGTTCGAGCACCAGCCCCTGCCGCCATACCTGAGCTGATTCACACCATGCGTTAAGCCACTCTTGCATTTCCTGAAATTTGACGTTCATATCTTCAACTGAGGTGAAGGTTAGAACCATATCTCTTCCCCCACCCAGTCTCACCTTAACATCCCCAAAGCCTTGCCTTACTATTTCCTCCTTAAACTCAACCACTGATAAGGATGGTTTTAATCTTACTACTACGCTTTCGTACAACTAACCATTACCTTCCTCAACAACATGAATAGTTCGGATAGCAGTAGTTTGGATACCTCTTCCTCTCACAACCTCAGCAAAGGACCTGGTCCTTTGATATCCAGCAGTAACCATGAGACTGTCATTTGTAGCCATTCTTGTCTGTGGTACTTGTCTCGACCTGGGCTTCGGACCAAATACCTTTTCAAACTCCGCCATTTTGACCTTCAATGCTCTGTCATCACACCAAAGCCCATGTGCTTTTTGTACTGCCATGTCCGCTGCTACAGAGCAATTGTAGCGTACAAAGCCAAAACGAGGTCATGTCATCTTTCTTCGCTTGTTTGGAATAAAAGCATCCATGACTACCCCATAGTTGGAGAAGATATTGTATAACCCTCTAGTCCCCATAGTTTCTGGAATATTATCCACAAAAACAGAGTATATGGCTGCGTCTGCCCTGCTGCTCCACACTCTCCTGCCACCATGACGACGGACCACTGGTTGCCATCCACCTTCATCATTCCCATAACCATGCTGTTTGCCTTCTCGGGACATTTTTTGTCAAGCCCTCTAAAATAAAGTATCTATGCCTATTCTATGCCAAGGATTTTGTTTTCTTCAATGAGGACCATAAATTGAAGTAAAAAAAATGGATATCGAATTTTTTATTTATTGTTGTCATTTTGTTTTATAGAAAATGTGAAAATTTATTGAGAATTTAAGATTTTATTATAACACTAGATTTTTTTATAATTAGGTAAATTTAAAACTTTTAAATATCTTGTGTTCTTTATTTTTATCATCTTTCTATTCCATTATATCATTACTACTATTTGTTAGTTTATTAATTATAATTCAATTAATTAAAAATGAAAGCTTAGTATAACTTTTCATAGATATTATAGTTAATTTATTACCGCTATAGTTGTATATAATAGTGTAATATGTAGGAATAATCTCTAAATATAATTTATGTTTTTTCATATGATTAAAATAGTCCATCTTAAATAGTTTACAGAGGAGTTAGATGGCTTTTTTTATCCCCAAAAAACCTAATCTATTTTCTTTTTACTTTTTAATTTTTTAAATTGAAATATCAGTTGTTTATATTCACAAAACAAAACTCATAAACATATATCCAAAAGTTACACATTTTTTTTTTCATTTTTCTTTTTTTTTAATAGGTAGAGTATTTACAAATAGAAAATGTTTGACACCTCAATTTTTTTTTTTTTATTTATAATCCAACCTATAATGATGTAGTCACAAGTGTCAATTTTTATACAAATATGAGAAGAAAATTAATCAAATTATATACTTCAACCAACTACATAGTCAAACTTTCATTATTTCAAGATGTTATTTTACTATAATTCCAATTAAGAGAATCTTCAACCCTTAATATATTTTTTCTATCAAATTATAATTTGATAAAAATTATTATTTTTTCCATCAAAATTGATGAAAAGAAAAAAAAAATTGGGATAAGAATGAAAGTTTTTTTAAAAATTGATAAAAATTTAATAAAAAAGTTAAAGTAATTCATATCAAATCAATTTTTTTTATTCAAATTTAAAATCAAATTAGATAAAAAAAAAAATTTAAAAAAATGAAAGGTTGAAAATATTCTGAAACCTTCTTATTTTTAAAGACTAAAAACCTGTGTGTATATTATATTCATATTGTATTTTTAGTTATAAAATTAAAATCAAAATAAATGTAACTTAAATTATTGGATTGATAATAAAATATCATATTAATTATTGTTAAATATTATTTTACTTCACATTTAATAATAAAATTTTATATTTGTTTTAATTACAACTTTTAAATATGTATATTTTCATAATAAGAAGAGATGTGTCAGAACTCATTTAATCATATTTAACTTTTTTTTAATACAAATTATTAAAATTGCATTAAATAGATTTATATATATTTTAATTTTTTTATACTAATAATTTAAAAAGTTATTAACATAGAAGTTAACTTATAATATGAGTAAATTGATGGTAAATCCAAACTGAGGAGGGTATAAGGCATTAGGTTTAATAGATATTTTTTATTGATAAAAAGTCCATTTGTGAAATAGTTTGGTGAGAAATTATTTTGTTTGATTTAAAGAATATTTTGTTTTCAATTTTACTCCTTAATGTATCTGTTGACTTTTGTTAACTATCTATTCCAATTTTTTCTTATTTGTTCAAAATTTTATCCTATTTGTTCAAAATTTTCCCTATCTGTTCATTTTTTCCCAATATGTTCAATTCCCCCCCCCCTATCTGTTTAATTTCTTTTGCTATTTGTTCAATTCAAATTTCTGTTTATCTGTTTAAATATTTTGTATTTTGTTGAAATACAAAGCTATCTATAGAAATTCAAAGAGTGATATATTAAAATACCAAGCCAATTTTTTATGTTTGTCTATTTCTTATCTGTTAAACTTTTTATTTGTTTAATTTTTTTTAACTATTCAATTTCTTATATGTTCAAAAAAATTATATGTTTAAAATTTTCTATCTATTTTTTCATTGTTCAAAACATTTATTTGTTCAATTTTTTTTTATCTGTTTAATTTTTTTTTAGGTAGAGAGAGAGAGAGGTCCTATAATTTTATCTGTTCATAATGCTAACTATCTGTATGAAGCTCTCATATATACACACAGA